AAGTAATTGCATACATTCTTAATGCAATTAAGAATATTAAATTAAAATTCAATAAGTAAAACATTATGTATTTGTACATATATCTGTGTAGTTGCTTATCAGTGCTTTTACATATCAGCATTTTTAAAGTAAAATATTGTAATAATTAAAACCATTACTTTTCATGTAACATGTATAATGCTGCTACTATTATCTCAATTTAACAGATGAGAATTATGATTGATTCTCTAAAATAGAAGGCAGCAAAATTTTTCTGTAAAGATCCAGGTAATAAATATTTTAGGCATTGTGAGCTATCCCGGCTCTGTGGCAACTCTGCTATTGAAACACAAATGCAACCATAGACAATAAGTAAATGAGTAAGCATCACTGTGTTCCAATGAAACTTTATTTTTAGAAACAGGCGGCAAGCTGAATTTGGTCCATGGACTATAGTTTGGCAACCTCTGCTCTGAGGTTGTTATTGGCTGCCACTAAGTTGGCCCTTTACTCATGGTGACACCATGCACATGAGAACGAAACACTTCCAGGTCATACACCCTAACCTTGATTGGCTGCAGATCAGATCTCTGTGATTCATAGGGTTTTCATTGGCTGATTTTCAGAAGTAGATCACCAGGTCTTTCTTCTCAGTCCATCTTAATAGGAAAGCTCCTGACCCCTACTCTGAAAGAACTCCTAGTGGGGCAATTATTAAATGCTTGGCTGCTAACCAAAAGGTCTACTGTTCAAACACACCAGTGGCTCCACTGTAGAAAGGACCTGGTGAAATTCCATAAAGATTACAGCTTAAGAAACACTATGGGTAGTTCTATTCTGTCCTATCTATAATGTTGCTATGTGTCAGAATTGACTTAATGGCACTCAAAAAAAAAAAAAAACAGTGAAGGAACAACTTAATGACAAAGCTAAATATAAGAATTCTTTATCCTTGAAAGCCTAGCCAGTATAAATCCTGTTCTAAAGCTTCTTTCTTAAACATTCATTGTCATTATGTTTCTGATTAGAAATTATCATGGAAACAGTCACTTTGAAATAGTTTAAGGCTCAAATATAATACCTATATATCAAATAAAAGTCCCAGTGGTGCAGTGGTTAGAGCATTTGGCTGCTAATCAAAAGTCAGAGGTTTCAACCCACCAGCCACTCCATGGGAGCAAGATGAAGCAGTCTGCCTCCACAGAGATTTACAGCCTTTGAAACTCTATGGAGAAGTTCTACTTTTTCCTAAAGGGTCACTATGAATTGGAATTGACTGGATGGCAGGGGGTTTTGGGGTATATATCCAATACATTTTTAACACATCACTTAAAAATAATACAAAGAAAAATCTATCTTAGTGATATTTTTATTACAAAATGGGAATTTTCATTTAAAAGCAACCAAAATAAACATGAAAGCATAACAAAATTAATTGAGGAGATACCTGTAGTCTTTAGGATCCTTGATTATAATTCCTTAGTATTGTAATCTAAAACACACTTTGCTAATGTTCATGTGTTCATCCATTCACAAATAAATTTAATGCCTCACCACTCCTCGGAAGGAAAGTTGGGCAATCTACTTCCCTAGAGATACCTCCTCAGAAACCCAAGGAGGGGTCGCTATGAGTCAGGGCCGACTCCACGGCAATGGTTGTGTTGCATTTACTGTATAAAAAGTAGAATCCTGGGTGATGCAAATGATTAACAAGCTTATTTGCTAACCAAAAAAGTTTGGTAGTTCAAATTCACCCAGAGATGCTGTCTTAGTCTGGGTCCTATAGAGAAGCAAAATCAGTGAAGCTTATATATATATTCATATTTATATGTGTATATGTATATATATATGCATGTGTGTATACATACATATGTATATATATATATATATATATGTATGTGTATGTATGTATATATATTGTTGTTATGTGTGATCAAG